GACAGACGGACAGACGGACAGACGGACAGACGGACAGACGGACGGACGGACGGACAGCAAGACGGACATTGCACAAAACCAATATACTAATTCACTTCGTGAATGAGTATAAAAACGAATTCTTGTGCCATTCACAATGCATCCTAACGTTTGCGTCAATGATCTTTCCTATCGATGGGAAACCATTTCAATTGATAGAGATTAAAGGGCCACGTCTGACATGAATGTATATATACATTTTTTTTGTTACTTATTTATAGCATGGGCTGGGCCGAGCTGAGCTGAGCTGGGGATGGGGCACAGCTGGTGCTGAATGGATTTGGCATGATTCTCCTTATCTCCCATATGCGCATAGCTTTCCCCACGAGCAATGCTCATTAACCCCAGATCATCATGGGGCGGCTGCTGCTACTGCTCATGTGGCACTACAAATCATTCAATGTACCCGGAAAATGTTCAGTTATAAAATATGCTTTTTAAGACGTGCTCCAAAAACGTTGGCCTCCCTAAATCGTAATAAAAGGTTATGTATATACACATACATATATACAGATGTACATATCGACTTAAAGGTTGATAGAAAATCATATTATATACAATTTTTACATACAAGAGCTAAAATTCCTTTTTTTCGTGAGTCAGTTTATATAGTTCGAAATTGGGGTAAATTTAATCTTCCTCTTATGTACATTATCGGGGAACTACCTTTTATATAGTTTTAACACATAAGCCATATGATATGTATTTGGTTGTATGTGTGGCTTTAAATATTTGGTATAGATAGTTCTCATTTGATAAAGTTTCCATATTATATTTATAGTTCACACTCTGCTTATCAAATGCGACAGGTGTGCTATATCATACCACACATTCGTTGACATTTTGATACCCTAATTTTGAATGCAGATTGCTCGACTAACTGAACCTGTTAACCTTTCAAGCTGCACTATGTAAAGCATAGGTTTACTTTGAATTTATAGTGAAAAAGTACATATGTACATATGTATGTCTTTTCTTTTGTGCTTAAAAAATAAATTATAAAATCTTTACCCAAGTGTTCTTTAAAAACGCTGTGTGAATATACATATTTATAGATTTGTGAACTCATACATATATCTGTATGTATGTATGTATATGTGCTTAAATATATACGAGAATTTGAAGTTTTTATTTACAGTTTGCCCTTTAGAAAGTTTCACTGGTGATTTGCTTTGACCGCTGACCTTGACTACGATGCGAAATGTCAATTTAATTATGCAAACGAGCAAACACAAAATGTGCAAATTGCAATGCTGCACTAGAATATATCCTGTAATCATTGAACAAATCTGTGTGTGCAATCATATTTAATTAATCTAAATTTGCAAAAATATACAAAACTCTCGGTCATATTTTTCAAGTAATTTAATATTTTTTTGAAGAGTATTTTTAAAAATCTCTCTAGACTAACAGGTTGATATGTTATATATTATAAAATATCTATAATATATAGTTGTGTAGTACAGATAGTGTGTAATATAACATATGTGAATACATATATAATATATTTAATTTTTATTCTATATTTAACACTGATTTACAAAAATATTTTTATACATTTTCACACAGTTGTAGGGTAAATTTGCTCATGCGTATGTACATATGTATGTATGTATTGGAAATTACAAATGCGCCGACAATGACGTAGACGATTTACAAGTTGGGTCAATGGCGTGCGTCCGGCAATCCAAATGTAGGCCGCCCAAGTTGGCGAGCGTGGAGCATGCGCGCAAAGAGAATCACGTGATGTTTGGGCAGACGCCGACCGGCCCATAGTCAACGTAAGGCCACGTAAACCATGTAAAGTCCGAAAGAAACGTGCGAGACGTAAACAGAAACAAGGGGATGAAGCTAAAGAGTGTGAAGAGCTGAGGCTATGCTGGTGCCACAGATGTACGCAGCATTGTGTACATACAGAGAATCACGCGATGCTGCTATGCTTGGGCGTGTGCATCTATTCTAAAGGCACATGCGAGCATGAGAGAGATAGACACAGAGGACGTCAAAGCAGAAGAGAACAGTTGCGGAAGTCTCTTTTAATTGACATTTGCATATACATACGGACAGGCAAACATACATACATATGCATATCTGTATGCGGACAATAAGTCTTTATAGGTTGCATATCACAAAGAATCATTATATATATATGTCTATACATACATAACCCGATCTGGGGACAGACGAAGAAACCGGTCAAACGGGCTGCGTGGAGAATATAATAATGATAATCAAACGCAACTAATGCTGTTGAGAATTATATTATTGGCTATTGCTTCGCCCATTTGCAATACTGCGTCGTGATTGTATAAATATGTATGTACATATGTGTGGAAGAACTTAATAAGAAACACGGGTTTCGCTTTTAGTTTTGACCTTGGACCTATTTTAATTCAAATGAATGGCTAATCTGTCTGTAGACGCACTATATTTACAAACTTTTCATATTGATAAGATTGACGCAATAAAAATTCAAATGCCGTTGGAATAGAAAATTGATATAATTGTATATTATTATACTTTTAAAACTATGCACTTAAAATATTTCAACAGATAGTCGTCACACGGCATTACGTATATATCATTTATATGTAGATATGTATGTAAGTTAGACATCAACAAACTGACTCACCAGCCATCGCACCATACGCGCACTTCCTTTCTTGTACCGTTGCATTTTTTGTTGCTGGCATCGCCGTTGCCGTTGCCATTACCGTTGCTACTGCAAGTACCGTTCACTAATTTGTCACTCATTATTATTTAATTATTTTAGAATTTTTCTTTTCGACTAGAGATTGTCCTAAACCAGAATCACAAATAATACATATATATATTTATTTATATAGGCAGATTTTAAATATACACTGAAAATACCAAACTAAAAGCACATTGATTATTATACGAAGAAACGAAGGCGACGTGCACAGTTCGAGCGCCTAAAGTTGTTTGGGTCGAGTTGTGAGTAAGTGTAATATATTTATTTCGACAGTCCCGAAGTAGCTACTTAGTTTTTGTTTTGCTTATCAGCGCGCGAACGCCTCGGTTTTCTCAAGTGTGTGTAATTTTTATGTTCTAGTCGCTCTACAAACGTATTGCTCAATTTACGTTGCCTTAAACAAAACTAACAGCTGATTGTCAAGGTGGCCGTATCACTAAAACGCATAAAATACCAAAAATAAATGCCAATCGCAGGAAATGTTTACAACGCAATTGGGAAGATTTGAGTTTAATATTAATTCGCAATATCACTGATTAATATATAAATATATTTAATTAATTGATAACTCCTGATTTTGTTTTATTATTATAAAATATAATATAATAAAATGTTTATATCAAGTCAAAAACAATAAAATTGACTAAGAATAAAAACTAATACTTGTAATTTTGTGTGAATACAAAATCTCGATAAGGGACGGCGCATAAACGATACGCTATGCTTCTTCTTCACATACCGACAAGTGCCGCGATTTGTTGCTATCAAAGAAATTTGTTTTTCGTGTGTTCTTAAAATAGGGAAATAAAGTGGACTGTAGAAAAAATGAAATAATATAAGATGTACGCGTACGCATTACAATTAATAAACAAACAAACCTACGCGCATCATGTCAGATTCGATTTCGGCATTGTATAGAGGGCAGAACCGAGCGATTAACTTATTTTATTTAAATTTCACGTGCTAAATTCCGAAAACTATTATTTACAAAATTGTCTCAAACGTTTTCTTTGCTTAAAACGCTGCATCGTGAGCTAGTGGCGAAGTGTTGGTTGCTTCCCTCAATACGCGGTGCTCAATAAATTTCATAACACAAAAATGCCCAGGCGAAGAACAGTAACTGGAGGAGCTTCTCGGAAGGAGTACGCTGCGGCCGAGGAGCGATTACTTGACATTTTCTCACCGCCAAACTCCGGCACAGCCGAAAAGACAACAAATTCGGATTTGGGTCAGACGTCAGCGGAATCGACACTGGTGCAACAATCCAATGAGAATGCTCAGGAAATGGATCCCTCACGGGACAACATGCTGCCGTTTATATCGGATGATTCGGAAATATGCAGCCTGTTAGCTAACTCCGATAGCAATGGCTTCAAAGGCTTCGAGGATACACATCACGAATACAGCGACACGTCTGAGGAAAGGGGCAACCCTTCACTTATATATGGTATGTTCCGCAATATGGATAAGTTCATTGAGGGCCAACCGTCGAGTCATAGTTATGTCAACACCCCAATTACAAGTAAGTTGTCCACCTGCCAATTTCCAGCATTCATCTGATTCCTTTGCGAATTCTAGGTACGCCAATAGCAGGCACATCCGCCAATTATATGCTTACAAATGGCAACATCAATGTAGCCCAGTCGGATCAGCCGATCCAGGAGCAGGTAGCCCCCGATTGCCAACATGTTATTGAACAATCGCACGCCGATTGCGTCATTTATGATGATGACAATGTTGTGTTGTTGACGGATGATCATTGCTGCGAGATTATTGTGGCTGCCCACGGTGTTCACACGGATCATGAAATGGAGCGTGCTTACCTGATGGGTCTGCAACCAGCAAACGAGCAGGAGCGTCTTAATAATGGCGTCAACTATTGCAACGATATGTGTGCTGCAGAGGAGTTAGAGGAGCATAATACGGAAAGCCATGTTTATCTCAGTGATGCGGCCCTGGATCAACAGCACCAACATCAGCAACACGTCCAGCACCACCAGCAGCAGCAGCAGCAACAGCAACTAGTGCTCGATGGAGTCGAAGAGGATCCAAATCAGGCGAGTGACCCCTATGAGGACGATCGACCCGATATCTGTGAGGTGTACGACCACGAGCTGGAGGACCACGATGACGATTGCATAGTGAATGAGCAGGAGAACAATTTGGAATTGCAGCTTCAACATGCTGCCTTGGGACATCATCATCATCAGCAGCAGCAACTGCATCATGAGCAGCAACTCAACATTTCGAGCAGCATGGAGGAGGATCAGCAAGCTACAGCGGCTACAGTTACCGCTTCGGCTGACATACCACACAGTAGCACAACAGAGTTCCCAGATAGCTCCACGTCCATGCCAAATGGTAGCGACTATGATGACTTCGATGATGATGTGGGCACAGCGGAGGAGCAATCGCCGCCCAGGCAGCGGAAGTATATGCCTCTCTTAAAGAACACGCTCTCCGCTGATGCGATGGATCGCCGGCTAGCTAATATACGCCAGTCGCAGCCGCAGCTGAGCCTCGAAGAGAAGGTGACCAGTTGGAATTGTGCGCACAGCTGCGACGCTGTCGAGGATGTGGAAAACTTTGACGCTGTGTTCAAACAGCACGAGGCTGAGCCAGCCAAGCAACAAACATTTGGCGAATTCTTTGAATATTTGCGACAAAATTTCTTGAAAACAACGCAAGCCATGCAAGAACAACCAGTGGAGGATGCGGTGGACGCAAATGTCGCGCCGGACACTCCTTATTCCAGTGACGATGCAGTCCGGCAAAAGCGGCCATGCTATAGACGGCTACTGCACACGGTGCCGGTGCAGCAGACCGAACTGATTATCCTCGATGATGATGACGACGATGATTGCTATGAGGTAATGGTTAATCCATCATCGACCACATTAGTGCCCCAATTGAGACGCAAATCAGATCAGCCAGTACGGACACAAAACTTCGTGTCGTTGCGTGTGGACACAAAAGAAACGTCTACGACAGACCTGGGTAATTGTGAGCCGACCGCTGCACAGCAGGAGTACAACGAATGCCACGAATACGCTTCGATTGCTAATCAAAATCACCAAGGCGAAACTAGGCGGCGTCAGCTGGATGAATCACTATCGGGTTCCAGGGAGCAAGATCAGAACCATATAATGATGCAACAGCAACAGGAATCACAAAGTCTCTCCTCAGGTACGTTTTCTGACTTTACTCATTGGTTTTATCTCTTTCTCTAACCTATAATGAATTCCTCTATGTTTGATAGGTCGCGCACGTAGTGTGGAACTCCACAATGATACACAGTTCTATGAGCAGCACGAGTTTTGCAATTACCTTGGACTCACGGAGCTGGCAACGGCCAATGCTGTGGCCAATGCCATGCGGGAGCTGGCCAACAGCAATGTGGCGCGGCGCTCGTTGCGTGTGCGCACACAACAGCAACTGGACCGAATGCGCAGCGATGTTCGCGGCAAACGAAAAGAAAGGCAGCAGCAGCAGCAGCAGAAGCAGCAGCAGCAACAACAACAACAACAGGAACAACAACGGGTCCTGCAGCAGCAAAATGACCATCACGATCAAAAACACGATATTCTAGAAGAGCAACGATGCCAACAGCACCATGAAAGCCTTAATCAGCAGCTGGTCAGCGATAATAGCAGCACCATCAGCAATAACGCCATCACAATTAGCACCAAAAATACGGGTCTCAGCGGCAACTCGATGCCGCTGGCAGCAAGCAACTCACTCATATACCCAAGGCCGTCTGTAGTGGCCGGTACCCCTGTGGAGTACTACTACCATCCTCCTCAGTCTGATGATCAGCAGCAGCAGCCTCAGGGCGCGTCTGACAGGGCTGCCAGCGACTATCATTCGATGTCCTTGGAGGCGGCATTTGCCAAGGTGTATGCCTCGGCAGCACCAGCCCAAAAAGAGCTGCACGAGTGCATGCAGAATCGTCTGCGGCAGGCGCGCGAAACCAAGCCTTCCATTTACATTGTGAAGTCGTTGAATAATGCCACGCCGTCGCCGTCGCCTCCTGCGAAACCGGCTATAAAGACCTCAACGACACCCTCGCCGGAGCGCCTGCAGCAGAAACGGAAACCCGATCTGCCACCAGAGGCCAGGCCATCGCGCAAGATGCTTAAAAAGATGATGGAAAAGTCAGCGAAGCGTCGCAGAACCACCGGCGGTGGCACCATCGCGACTACGCCGAACGAACGCGATTTAGTTACGCGATCGACGACGCACTTGAACTCGAAATTGTTGCGAAATCGCAAGGTGAGCCTGCTGAAGAGCTACGAGCTGACGGATTTGGCGGCGAACGGACGAGGCAAGCGACTAGCCGGTGGCTCGACACCAGCTGCCAAATCAACCAAATCTCCGAAGAAAAAAGCCAAAAAGACGCCGCCGCCACCGGAGCAAGTGGTAATCAGCTATGGTACCTCGATGAGTAATCATCCAGAGGAATCGTCACCGTCTACGCCCAAGAAGCCGAGGCTGCCGGTAGTGGAACCGAATGTCGTGGCTAGGCGAAAGCGTTTCCGTACCAAATCTCTGCCATCGACACGAAGTAAAGAAGAACCGCCGAAAGAAGCAGAGAACACTGACGTGGGTCCAACGGTGCCTGAATTGAAGGCAAAGCTGCAGTTGCAACAACCTCCAAACCCGCAGATGGACATACACGACTTCATCACGAACAACTCCATTGTCAGTCCGCCGATGTACAGTGCTGCAGTCCGTCATTATGTGAATGTTCTGTGCCAACCCAAGGATATGGCACAGGCAGAACACCAGCAGCAACAGCAACAACAATCGCCAAAGGCCCAAAGGCAGACACCACCGGAAGGCTTCTTTGATGTCACCTCGTCCTTTGCGCAACTGAGCAAACCTTCGTTAAACTATCCGCCAGCGACACCCCCATCTATACAGCGTTCGCCACACTTTTCTCGACGAAGTCGCCAAGTAGCTGGCACAGCACAGAACGCTTATGTATTCCAAACGCAAAACGTTCACCCAACGCAACCAGGTTGCCTTTTGTCGCTGACGAAAGGATTGACCGAGCTACAAAACCCGCTGGCGGGAAAGAATGGCAAGGTGCTTTACATATACTTTGAGCTCGATCAGCTCATTGTGGTGCAGGAGAAATTGGTTTCGTTTTGGAAGTACTCGAAAATTTTCAATGTACTGCAGAAGGATGAGGATCCGGCGCATCCACAACACACATTTGGCTCGAACATAAATGAGAAATCACGCAAATTATCAGCGGACTCAGAGAAGTCCACTGACAGCCTTACCCAGCGATGGATACCTTTGGGTGCAACACGTCGTCTTACCAACGGTAAGCAATGCCTGCAGCTCAGCGTTTTTTTTTTTTTAATTATCATCTTATATTATTATTATATTATATATTCGCCCTAGACATCGAAATTCCCGCACCGTACGATAATCGCCTGTGCACGCACAACTCGACGCCCGTTTACATTGAGATGCGCAGCCATCCGCTGGATCATCATAAACGTGAGAGCAATCTTTTGTCGCTGTATGTGAATGTCTACTACTACTGTGACGAGGAGCTGCGCCCCAAGATGCACTCGGTGCATCTTGATGCAGTCAATTGGTGAGTCCTAAGCAAATATCTCCCGATAAACCTAAAAATAATTTACAATTGTTTACAATTCAGCGAATCGAACCAGGTGATCTACACGACCATAACCGAGTCGCGCTACTTTGTTATGGCCTGGCAGCAGGATTTGATGGTGGGCAAGCCGCGCGCTGGCATCTGCAAGTACTCGCTGACACCCACGCTGGATACACTAGCCAGCATACGGGAGTTCAAGCAGCTACGTCACGAGTTGAAACACATTGAGTGCCTGACGGAGGATCGTTTGATTGGTTATGGGCAGACGCGAATAACAATTTGGGATCATCGAAGTGGTGATACGTTAATGAACTATGACTTGGGCTTCGATCTGGGACAGAATCTGGGCGTTATGCATTTTCCAAGCTTTGAAATGGATCAGAGCAGCCTGCTTGTGTTGTATCAACATGTCAAGGAGCCGAACAAATGGCCAGAATTGCGTATCATTGCCTGCGAGCTGTCGCACGTCACGCCAACGCACCGCGTATTGCACGTTCATCGTCTGCCTTCGCCACAATTCGATACAGATTTGGTGGCCGTCAATACGGGGGATCATATAATATTGAAGTCACCAAAAGACGATGAAATGTGGATCAACACTGCGGATCCGCGACAGCTGATATATTTGGCGCCCCAGAGCAATCAGCGATTCTACAAGCGACAAAAGCCTCAGGTTATAACTATGACACCGACTACGTTAGTCGTGGATAGCATTTCCAATCATGTATTGAAGTTGGCCACTGCGCATCAAGATTTGATTACGAACGCGATGAATATGGCCGAATCAACTGGTGGCTCACGCCAGTTGCCAGTGTCCGTGTAGAGAACACCTACAAATGGGGATTGGCAACCAAACACAAGAAAACATTAAAAAAAAAAAAAAACAAGCCACGCTAAATTCCTCATCGTTTTATTTCAGATTGGGATCGAAAATTGAATAGTTTTTTAGTTAACTTTTTAATGAATCCTTTAACGCCTACCAAAATTTGTCTGTAGCATCCTACCAACTATTACTAAATATAACTAAATGTATAAAACCACAGATGCTTTTGAAGTAGTATCGATATCTATTTAAGTTAAGCCATAAATCTTGATATATATATATATATATATATACACTTGCATATTTATATGTAAATATGTTAATCGGAATTCAATATCAATCGTTGCCTAGGAAATATAAAGACCAGTTGATTTATGTTTTAATTTAGTTTAAGCTTTCAGGTCAAGCTTTACAAAACATGTTTATTTTTATTTTCTCAAAGAAAACATTGAGTCAGGCAGAGAGCAGTGTTAGATTTAACACAAAATTTAAAACAAACTGAATAAAGAAGTTAATATGTATAAATTAAATTAAATTAAACAACACGATATTCCAATTTTGACATGGGGCGGGCCTTTCTCTTGACGATCCAACCTTCAATTGATTCGAACACCGTTGTATTATTTTAAATGATGTATTTAAACACATTTGGTATATGAACTAATAAATTTCCGCTACACATTCTTTTAATCGTTACAAATACAACATTACGATCTAGTTATTATTAATACAATTTGAATATTTTTTTTTCTTACTACCATCTAATATATTTACAGAAGATATACTTACACGAAAGTAAAATTCATATAAAAATTGTGAATGTTTATGCTCTATAAGTACGATTCTTTACAGATACAATATCCATATAATATTATACATGACGGATACACACTCAGATAGAACAGCCTGTCAGCTGTCTAACTAGGAAGCTGAGTAGTGATAACTCTTTTTAAAATGTTCAATGAAATGCTAAAAAACTGTTTCAACAGTTGGCCGATCGACCGAGGTGGAGAGCTAACGAGCCCAGTCGGACTGATGCTTTAGCTTTAAATTACAGTTCTTACTTTTATATAGTAAAGTGCAAAAAGATTCGCAAGCCGTTGCTGCTTTGAACGAAAGTTAAGATTTATAAACTTATTTATGCTATATATGATTGTTTAATTAGTGAAATGTTTATCGAAAAGCACTTTAGAACTAAAGAAAACGCCACACCGAAGCGTTAAAGAGATGGCCCTAGCGCATGTTTCAGCAGTCACTACAACTCCTTGTCTGGCTTTTTCTTTGGCATCGTCCCCGCAGCCAGAGCGGCAGCCGCTGATGCTGCCGCTGTTTCATTCTGATGAGCCTCTTTGGCCAGTTGCCACCGCTTGAACTCCACCATTTGCATGATGCGAACACGCAGCTGTGGACGGCGCTGCATCGCCGCCGACAGCTTGCTGAACTCTTGGCTGTACATGAAGACGACGGGTATAGCGACATCGTCTTTGCCATCGCCGGACATCGCAAACATCGGTTGCGTCTCGCCGGAAGAACCTGATACATTATCACAGACGATCAGTGCCGTGGCACCCACTTTTTGTGCCAAACGCGCTTTGCTCACGAACGTGCAATCGCCGCGCTCAGCGACAAGAATTTTCCCAGATATATCGCTGGAGTTCTCCAGCTTCTCGTCACAGGCACGAAACGGACTGGCCAGCACTACTTCACCTTCGACAAACTGTTCACCGATTAGCTCTGGACTGAAGTGTGATGGGCCGGCCACCAAAGCGGTCCAGTCCTGCGACTGCTCATCCAAAGCATAAGCAACGGCCTACAAAATAAAACAGAAATACATTTTAATTAACTCAATTATAAATTTGTACAGTCTTCGACAATAATTGATCATGAATCTGACTAAATAAATATTCTAGTTGTCGCTCAAAATCTCACCATTATCAAATGCTTCGGATAATTCTTAGCATTTGAGTTACGCACCTGCAGCTGTGCCAGCTGGTTCATGCTCTGCATTTTGGTTAGCTCTAGCATTTCTTGCATGAACTGCAAGCCCATTTCGCCTTCCTCTTGGCTCTTAGCCTATGGACAAATATATAAATGAATTAGATACATTTTGAAAGGCTTAGCTATATAATATATGAATGAATATATGAAAAAATACAAATGAGAAGCCTTGAACGAACAAAGGAAAGAAGCAAAATAAAACTTACATTATAGAAACTATGAAACAGTCGCACCTTGCCTTGGCTTCGGTCGCCTACCGAAACCATGGTGATGCCCATGTCATATACAGCTCGCAGATGATCTGCATTGCTTGCCTGAAAATCGAGGGCACTGAGTCGCTTGCCACTGATGGTGCGCGGGCACGAGCCCGTAATGAAGTTGCGCAATGGTTTGCGTACTTTTTCAGGAAAAAGCTTATTGGAACTGGGGCAAGTCCGCATGAAGTCGAGTACATTGTGCTCGTCCGATTGCCGAAAGCCTATGAACAATAAGTATTTAATTAATTCTCGTAGTTCATGGAGTTATGTATAATGTTCCTTACTAAACGTGGAGTTCCCTAGCTGTGCTATAGAAAGTGGCAACAGATGCGCCTCGGTGGTAAACACAAACTCATCCACATTGATGATCAAATCCTGTGGCTCAGAGAACAGCAAAAACAGATACTTAAACGTCTCGGACAACACAAATGAATCCATGCGATCCTCATGCTTGCCGGTGCGCACATCGTTGACAGCTGCGTAGCCACAGGAGACCTTCGCGTACTTCTGCAGCGTTTTCAGCGCCTTTTTGCCCACTTGAAGGTAATGATGATCGCCGGTGGCTCGATACAAGAAATACGTGGACTCTATGAACTCCGGCCGCAGATGATGCTGGCCCCAATGTATTTGAAAATCTACCGTCCACGCTTCTGGTATGAGTGTGTGCATCTGCATCACTTGGTAAAGCATTTCGTGGGTTTGCACCGCCGGCTTTAGATCACCCGAGAGCACCTGCAGTCCCGGCCAGAACGCCAGGAGGGAGTCCATGAAGTTTCGCGACTTCGCATGCGGCCGATGCATCAGCACATCCAACAGCATGGGTCCCTCGCTGACGTACTTCATCACGGCGTTATAGTGGCGATTAAACCGAGCCAGATACTTGTCATCCCCGAGTAGCACATAGGATTTGAACAGATATTCGTAGTAGCTGTCGATGCCAGCGCCCACGCCCGAATCACGACGTATCCAATCACCAGAGTGTATATTCAGCACCGTTCCCATTAGATCAGAGCCGCGATGTCGGAGCTTCCACAGTGCATCCATTGCAGCATGTGCGCGCACCTCAAAGATGGGATCGCCTGTTAGCCGCGACAATGCGGCAAACTCCAATAAAATGGTGCCGGCGCAGGCGGTGCACGTTTCCCTTGATTTCTTCAACATCGGGTCCTTCATGCCCAGTCGCAGATTGACGCGTGCATGCGGTATACCCGTCGTGGTATTAAATGCCGGCAGCAAGCGATATCCCAGCTCACGGGCCATTTCAAGCATTTCACCCTTATACCAGTGCATTACGTCTGCTTGCTTTTGCAAGTATTCAGCAAGTATGTGAGCCGACAGTAAGCCACCCACCATACGAATATTCGTCTCGAACACAGATACAATGATATCGCTATCAAATTGCACGTCCCGTATGACGAGCTTAACGGCGTGCTCGAACTCGGCAAAGTCTCCAAGCAGCACCAAGGTGTCCAGCGAATCCACCAGTGTCATAGAGAAGCTGCAAAGCAGAATGATCAGTAATATTATTGTTCCGGATATCAGACATTTCTTAATATACTATCTGACAGTCATTGAGGTCTTGGAAAGATTACTGATTAAAAGTTGATAACATATATAAAATATGTACTAAAACTGTATTATATCGTTATTGCTTATATATAAATAAGATTAGATTGTCTAGCAATTTCAAAGCGAATAAAAACCTAATATAATAATACACTTATTTTCAAGGTTTTATCTAATCAATTCAAAAAAATTTCTATAACACGAATTTGTCGAGTCTTAAACTTGTCGGGGGGTTTCGTTGTCTTTGTCAGCAGTACTCACTTGCCCAATATGTCGTCCATATCGCCTCGGGAAGGCGTCACACCGCGGTACCGTCCCTTGCAGGAAAGTGGCATCAGCTCGTCCGCAGGATATGCGTTCTCCATGTAGGCATGATATGCATGATAGAACATTTCGCGTGACTCCTCGCTAAAAAAAAAAAAAAAAATGGACATGTTAGGAAATGCTTATATGTAGCTGTGTTCAATTACCGCAGTTCGGCGCGCTCCTTGTGCGACATGTTTTGAGTGGGCATCGTGCTCGCATCATCACTAATTACGCTCACAATCAGCAGGAGCAGAGAGAGCAACGACGGCAACAGCAGACGCTGTGCCACGATCGACAATGTAGTTGAGCTCATCGTATCGTTTGGCTCGAACTGGAATTGGATTTGGAACTGGAACTGGGAGCTGAAGCTTGAACTTGAATGCTAGCTCCAATTCCAAGCAGCTGGTGCTGTTCGTTTATCGTTTTTGGCAGCCACCGTAGCCGTTACTTATCACCTTGTTATTGTTTTTGTTTGTTGCTAGTGGCGTTGACCTTCACTTTGAACGTGTTATTCGTTGGTTTACTTATATATTTTAATTTATCGCGTTGTCCGTTTTAGTAGAGTTTCTCTGGTTTTAATTTGAAATCAACGTTTCATTTAAATATATGGATGGTAGACTGTCAAAAGAAAAAAGTAGTATATATTATATTCATACATGCACATGCATATCTGTAAATGTGTACGTATGTATGTGTTGGGGGTCTTTACATTTATGACCATTAACCTTACCCGACAAAAATAATTGTGTATTTTTGTTGCATTTTTTCTTGCATTTGTGCGTTTGTGACGTGCTCAGCTGTGTTGCTTGCATTTTTTTCGCTCATTCAAAGTAGTAACATTTCAGGATAGTTTATTTTTAATCTTGTTTGCTGCTACGGCTGCTTGCTGCCAATAACAAAACACCACGACTGCAAATCGCCGAAACCCGAGCAGCGACCGCTCGTAGCGAGATAAATTTATACTCTGCAGATGTTTAGTATGTACACATTGTATTTAGATGTGATGCCACATATGAGTAACTGTAACACGTATATAGTTAGGTTTCCCTGGCAGTTCTTAAATTGGTTAAATCGCTAGTTCTTATCAATTCTATTCAGAAAGTTACAGTGCGAAAAGACTAGTGCTGTAAAATATACATGTATTTATTTTACTATACTTTGTATTTCACACTCTATGGTCACCCAAACGAAATTGTGTTGGAATGACACCGTCAATTTATAAAACACATGCGAATTTAAAATTTATCTATATTGGAAATTTGTTAATGCTTAAAACTTTATAATTTCAAATAAGAATAACAAGAGACGAGATTTTTGAAATAGTGAAAGCGATACTTTCATATAATTATTCAATGGACTTCAACAATTCAATGTCATTAAATTGTTGCCTTCGAAGTGTGCCCAAACGCTGTTCAAATTGACAGTGCTGTTAAACGACATGGCAACAGCTGATATTCCGCGCCTTTAAATTAAAAATATATAAAATGGTAAGCGCGCATAATTTCTCTATTTGCAGTTTCAAGTAAATGTGGATAATTTTCTTCTCATTTCTGAATAGCGACGCAGTTTGGCACCCAGTCAAAGACTGGGAGTACGTATCAAATCAAAGGACGCCTTCACCCCTCCATTACAAAAGAAAAATAAACGCGTGTGTCAAGAGGAGCTGCAGAAGCGCCAAAGCGCATTACGAGATGCGACCAATCGAGTTGAACTGCCGCTCCCGGTACGCTTCACCTCGAATAGCGAGTATGAGCAGGCCATTGCTAAGGTGCTAGCGCGCAAGTTCAAAGTACCCATTGCCAACTACGTGCCAGATTATGGAGGAAATCGGACGCTGGGGGTGCGTCGTACCATAGTGCGGCGTGCCCTGCACGATCCACAGGCGTGCAATGCTTTAGTCTTATATGTGCCGCCGGCCTATACCGAGCATGAGCGTATGTCAATGGATCCAAGCAAAGTGCAGGTACATGTCGTAGTTGACCCAATCCTCAGCAACGTGCTGCGTCCACATCAGCGTGAAGGTGTGCGTTTTATGTATGAATGTGTGGAAGGTAAGCGAGGTAATTTCAATGGCTGTATTATGGCTGATGAAATGGGTCTGGGCAAGACCCTGCAGTGCGTCACCTTAACGTGGACGTTGCTGCGTCAAAGCCCCGATTGCAAACCAACGATCTCCAAGGCCATTGTTGTTTCCCCATCATCGTTGGTAAAAAACTGGGAGAAGGAATTTACTAAGTGGCTACATGGCCGCATGCACTGCCTGGCCATGGAGGGTGGCTCCAAAGAAGACACGACACGCGCTCTCGAACAGTTTGCCATGAATACAGCAACGCGCTGTGGAACTCCTGTGCTGCTGATCAGCTACGAAACATTCCGGCTCTACGCACATATTCTCTGCAAGACAGAGGTGGGCATGGTCATCTGTGACGAAGGTCATCGGCTCAAGAACAGCGATAATCTCACATATCAGGCTCTCATGGGACTGAAAACCAAACGACGTGTTTTACTCTCCGGCACTCCCATACAAAACGATCTGACCGAGTATTTCAGTTTGGTCAATTTTGTGAATCCAGAAATGTTGGGCACTGCCGCGGATTTTAAACGTAACTTTGAAAATTCAATTTTACGCGGCCAAAATGCTGATTCTACGGATGCCGAACGTCAACGAGCCTTGCAGAAGACCCAGGAATTAATTGGTTTGGTCAATCAATGTATCATACGACGTACAAATCAAATCCTGACCAAATATCTGCCGGTCAAATTTGAAATGGTCGTGTGTGTCAAGCTAACACCAGTCCAACTCCAAATCTATACCAATTTCCTCAAATCGGATCAGGTGCGGCGCAGTCTGGCAGGTAAGTAAGAAGTCAATAAAAAGGAGCCAATTTTTGTAAAACATGTTTATTTTAATTAGATTGTAATGAGAAGGCATCGCTGACGGCATTGGCTGACATAACAACGTTGAAAAAGCTGTGTAATCATCCGGATTTGATATACGAGAAAATTGCTGCAAAGGAAAAGGGTTTCGAGAATTCGCAAAATGTTTTACCGTCCAACTACAAGCCGAAGTTTGTTCAACTATTATTTTTAAAATGTATTTTTTACCAATTTTTGCATATACTTGTAGAGACGTGAACCCGGAGCTGAGCGGAAAGTTTATGCTGTTGGATTTTATGCTGGCCGCCATACGAGCCAATAGCGATGACAAAGTGGTGCTCATTTCGAACTATACGCAGACGCTGGATCTGTTTGAGCAGCTGGCACGCAAGCGAAAGTACACGTATGTTCGTTTGGATGGCACCATGACGATTAAGAAACGCTCCAAGGTTGTGGACAGATTCAACGATCCCAGTACCGATTGCTTTCTCTTTATGCTAAGTAGTAAAGCCGGAGGCTGCGGCTTGAATTTGATAGGCGCGAATCGTTTATTCATGTTCGATCCCGACTGGAATCCGGCTAACGATGAGCAAGCCATGGCTCGAGTATGGCGCGATGGCCAGAAGAAGCCCTGCTACATCTATCGCTTGGTCGCAGTAAGTGTCCCGAAGCAATTCCAATTCCATATGATATATTAACTCTAATTTAAGAGCGGTTCGATTGAGGAGAAAATCCTGCAAAGGCAGACACACAAGAAGTCGCTGTCCAGCACAATCATAGACAACAATGAGTCTTCAGAAAAGCATTTTACACGCGATGATCTTAAAGATCTATTTAGCTTCGAGGCGAACGTGTTATCCGATACGCACAATAAGTGAGTGACTGGTGATTTATTAAGAAATGAAAATGGTATATGTATTCCTTGAATCTTTCAGACTGAAGTGCAAGCGTTGTTTTCAGGACGTGCAAAGACAGCCACCAGCAGAGAATACAGACTGCACCTCACATCTGTCGCAGTGGTTCCACTGCTCAAACAATCGCGGCTTGCCGGACAGCATATTGTCCCAGGCGTGGACAGCAAGTAAATGTGTTTCATTTGTGTTCCATCATCGATCACAGGCCGAGTCCAAGCCAGCGGCCATCATTACCGAGGATGATGAGTCGAAGCAACAGCAGCAGAGTCCTAACCACACTTCAAAAAGCGACGACGATGACCAAGACTTTGACCCGGAGGATAGCGCTGAGGAACAATTCTTGGGCTTCTAGTTGTTGAATTTACAAATAATTTATTGTTTTTGCATTTGCGGAACCTGATTTAGATTTTAAGCTAATCTAAAAACTAATTTCATTTGTTACTCGTTAACAATTAAACTAATATACATAAGTAGTTTAACATTTAAAATATGGAACTAGCCGTTCCCAATGCTTGTCAGCTTCATTAACAGAACTATAAGCACGTAAAATGTCTTAGCCTAGTGCAGAATTCAGATTTAAAAACACCTTTCATACACACATATTTAACTATCATGAACACACATGAATTGTCTCTATGTATGTATGTGTGCATCAGTAATAAACCAATGCAGTGTTAACACAGTCAATAGAACACTTTTTGTGTAAGTTTGTATGTGTATACCTATCAAATAAGGGGGAGTTAAACATCGATGATCTTATGCTCCAGCTCGACCCAGACGTTGCTTTTCTCAGGTGGCTTTTGCAGCGGAGAAGGCTGCTGCAGTAGGTCGACCAGAAAGTTTCCAATGCTTTGGTAGTAACTAAAAAATTATGAATGTTAATTAGATTATAAAGTTTAAAATATTTCTGATTAGGAGCAATTATCATTTAGAGGAGTAGAGATTTATTTTATTTTTTGTTTGAGTGACTCAGAGGCTTCCGAAATTATCTATAGCTTACCCATCGACTATCCAGGTGTCGTTGTGTGAACCCCCCGGAAATTCAATCATACGTTTCTGTTCGCTACCGCATTTGGTATACAAGGCACGCATCATGCGCGGTGGCACTAGGTTATCTGCAAGGCCCGATATGAATAGAAAAGGCACCGAGCACTTGCTTATCTTGTTAAGTGAATGGTACTGCGAAAGAAAAGCGGAAGTGTACAATGAATGCAATGAAAACAAATACACGAGAGAGAAAGATGAATTCAAATTACCTTATTTTTATACAATAGATTTGGTATGTATTTCACAGATGGATGCACCAGCTCGACCGCCATATCACGTATACTAGTAAATGTGTTTTCTACAATGGCGCACATTAACTTTTGGCCATAGACAGCGTCGGCAGCTACATCGATTACAACGGCGCCGCCCAGTGAGCGACCAAACAGTATAAGCTGTGAATGATCCAAGTCATGGCGCGTGTGCAAATAATCAATTGCGGCACGTGCATCTGTTACTAGACCACGCTCGGAAGGCACGCCAGTCGATAGACCATAGCCGCGATATTCGACCATCAAGACGTTGCAGTGCAGATGATGATAAATGCCCCACACCTTACGAAAGAAACAAATTGAATTAGGCTGGTATGACAAATCAAATTTTAGGTACTCTCTTATTACATTCTGCATTCGATGTCCCATATTGCCCGCATTGCCATGGAAGTAGATTAGTGTGGGCACAGATTTGCAACGCTCCTCGCGTTGACTTATCCAAAAGGCATGCAGTGTAACTCCATCAGGCGTCTTTATGCTAACGGTAAGATGCGGCAAGTTGTGCATTGTGGGGATGGGTATGTAAATGCGGGAGTTTGTTGGCAAATCCGGATGATACAAGAGTAGGTCTTGTGCATGGTAAAAGATAACTGTAAATAAATAAAGAGCTCTATTGGAACTATTACAGATATATTTCCATTTACATACGTAGTAAAATGGCTGCAAAGAGCGTAAGCGTCATGTAACCCCCATAAAAATAATAGAAAACGAAGAATAGAAGAAAAGCGCCAACAATGCCTACGCCTATACCCCGCGATGTGGGCAGCGCTATGCCCACTTCTTTCATTTTGTACACGTCCGTAGGTATACACGAGTGCTACATGCTGAAATTCTTTCAGTATTTAATGTACGAGCATTGTAAATTTTAGAAAATAGCTAAAACTAAAAGCGTCGACGTAGTTAGAGCAGCTGCGGAACTGCCAACTTAATATTGATATCTTACAGTATAAGGAATCAGCTGGATGCAGTGGGAACAGGTGTGTGTGTAGTGACGATGAATTTATCGGTATTTGCAGCCCTGGTTGACTCGATAGTTTTCAGTTTCAGTGCAGCCCTGCTTAAAACAAAATGGCGTATTTTTTACAGCAATAGACCAAGGCGACGTGAACATCTTTTGTGTAGTTGAAAACTGCATTTAAAAACAAGTGGCTCACTTTCAAACCAAAACAAACATTTATCAAAACCGTTAAATAGTGTATTGCATGTTTAATGAGCGCTATAAGGCAACTCTGTGTGCTACCACGAAAATATAATGAGCCAGGTAAGTAGGCCTTGAAAAAGCTGTGACTGTGAACGTCGTGTAAAAGAAAAAAAATAAGAAGAAAACTATGAAATTTCATTATCATTCAAAACAAGCCTATATCAATCAGTTGAGTTCGAGTCGTCGTGTGAGTATTATTATAAAAAACTGTGCTATATTGAATTTCTACGTTAATTTTGTGGGTGTGGCATGTGCCAGTCAAGAAGACTATCCCAAGAGGTGTCCCCCCGTTTGAGACTCCGTCACACGTACAGCTCTTGGTGTAACAGCAATAATGGCTTTCAAAGAAAAAAGTGTTAAATATTGTATATTCAATAGTGTTTCACTGTTTTCACAACGTCAACCGATTCCAGAGGACTCAACGTGGCAGCCAGTGTTAATTTTCTGAAAATCCATTGGGTACCCATTTTCGCAAATTTCGATTGAATTTGGGCATTTCAGTTTGTTTTCGTTGAATGCCGCATACAAAAATGCATATTTTGCATTGTTTTCGAGCGATTCGAGTAGAAATTGAAAATTTTCATCGATTACGTAACCACATTTTGTCAGGTGCAAAGTTTTCCTCGTGCTCCAAACTATGAATTTCTGGCCAATTCTCGAGGAATATCAGCCCGCCAAAACAAATCTTGCAGAGAACTAGTCTTGATTTAACTAAATTCTTGTATTTAAACATATTTTCAATCAGTTTTATCCGATATCTCTAAATTTGAGCAACAATATTGTTCAGTTAAACCATAAAAATGTCGTCAGTGTCATGAAATCCGCGTACTTTTAATGAACTTACCGGCTTTTTTCTCCAGGATCGCGTATAAAGTGTTAATCTTCCATTTCTTAACAGTATGCCTGCTTACCCGGATCAGACAACGTGTTGAAACCAACAAGTGCTGACATTTATATCAAAAAATGTCCTTTAATACTAGTATATGCATTTCTGGAGAGGATTAGCCATTAAATTTGAATGTAAATACGTTATTCTTTTACGACAAGGCATTTCAATTACATTGGCGACATCTTAGACTGTGCCAAGCACTGAATTTCTCACATTTTGCATGTATCGTGAAGCTTTTCGGTAATATAAGGATTTCACTAATGTATGGCCAGGATTCAGGGTGTTTTTTCAGCTCTCGTCTGATCTTAGTTGATATATTGTACCACAGCCATTTGCCAATGATGCGGTAGGGTTATTTAATCACAAATCGCGTGTTTTGGAAAGATTAGTTGCTTACTATTTATTTGTATATTCAAAGGATATAAGGCCAAATAGCTGGAGAGGATCAGGTTCAGTCAACCCTTTGATTCTATTATGTGCTAAAGGGATACAGAATATATAAACCCAGGTTTACAGAAAGGTTGTGGGAATATTAAACAAGATTACAAGCAATCGGTTTTCTGTTTACGTTAAGCCTATCAATACGAAAATAATCCGTGAGAATTTCAGAGATGTTCATTTTCTTAAGAATATATAGATATTGAGCTATAATGTATAAAGCCATATAATGTTAATTGATCTATAAGAATTACAAGTGGCGGATGAATCCGAAAGTATTCTTCAATCATTAAAATGTTTTTTATGATTGGGCAAAGGTTAAAAGAGGAGTAAATCAATTTTTTTTTTTTTTTATCTTCAAATCACGTTAAACGCATTAAACAAATCAAATCATGTATTTATTCAAATGAAAATGTCCAGATTCTGAATGCGATTCACAATATTTGTTTTTCCTTATTCTTGCACAGGCACTCAATGAATCGTCGCATAGTATAGGCTCAGACGAACAAGATGACACAAGAGAAGAGGCCAGTGGCAGTGGCAGCGGTAGTGGGAGTGGATCCTCGGGCTCCGACTCTGATTCAGACAGTTCCTCAGGTAACTCCAGCGATGGACGCAGTTCGCAGGAGCCAACGGTTGCCAAAACGGCGGTGGCAGGTTTTCCACCAACAGCAGTGGCCGCTCAAGCAGATACCAAAACGAATGGCTTTACGGATGGGAATGAGGATGACAGTTCCAGCAGTGACTCCAGTGCCAGTGACTCTGACTCGGATGCAGAGGCTGGCGGCGAGCCGGACAGAACAAACAGTAATAACAACAGCAACAACAACAACAGCAACAGCAGCAAGTTGCACACGAGTAGTAGCAGCAGCTCCTCGGGCACCTCTGCAGCAACCCTTGCCAAGGCTGGCGAAGAGGATGATGACGATGAGGACGACGATGATGATGATGATGAAGAAGAAGATGGTGAAGAAGACAAGACACAACAATCACAGGCCGTCAGCGAAGCCAGCGCCGATGAAGATGATGCCAGTGATAGCTCCGCCAATGCCTCGCCCACATCCTCCAGCAGCAGTAGCAGCAGCGTAAGTTAAACCTCTTTCATTATTTAGTGCCTCTTCAACACGTTAGCTCAACTACTTTACACAACCCAACAGGAGGATGAGGAGGAAGATTACAGACCTAAGCGCTCTACCCGACAGCCGCGCAAAGCCGCGCCATCCGCTGCAGAAAAATCAAAGAGACCTGCCAAAAAGAAGAAAAAGACCCAAACGTAAGTTTAATAAATTATAATTAAATTGATTGCATTCAACCGTTTGCCAGTTAGAAGCATTTAGTTAGATTATGAATTTATATACAACAGTCTCTATTACGTTTTGTGTTAATTGAATATTTTAATGAAATATTAGATCAAGGAAACGTGCAGTATTAAGTTTTTTTTTTACTATTTTTTTTTTTTAAGATAAAACTAACTATGAAATGTTCTCAAAGAACATTTTTAGGTTTTACTAAAGGGGATGCCGTACAAAAAATTGCTTTTCGATTTATAGATCAAACAAAAGGCAGTGCAATCGTATTATTTTAGAATTCTTGAGCGAAACAATTTAAGCATCTATTCATACGCAGTTGGGACTCCGACGAGAGCGACGGGAGCAACGACGCTGAGAGTGATGAGGCAACTTTCACAACACAGAAACGCAAGTGCAATGCGCGTTCCGGCGGCAACAAACAGTCACAACATCAACAGTCGCGACGTCGCGTGAAATCCTTTAGTTCTGAGGAAAGCGATGATGATGATGCGAGCAAAAGGTATGTCAATGTAAATATATCATAAGATTCAACAAAACTCAAATCATATCTTAATAATGACAGGTGCGCAACTCGTCGTACCGCAGCTGCTGTGAGTTACAAAGAGGCGTCTGAGGACGAGGCCACTGACTCGGAGGACTTGCTGGAATTCGAGTACGATGAAAGTCAAGCAGCGGCTAATGCGGCCGCCGCTGAGGAGGAGGAGAAGTGCGAAACTATTGAGCGAATCCTTGCGAAGCGTGATGGCAAGAAAGGCTGTACCGGAAATCAAACGACAATTTATGCCATTGAGGAGAATGGATGTGATCCGAATGCGGGTTTTGAGGACTCCTCAGAGCCGTTGGAGGTGCAATACCTGATCAAGTGGAAGGGCTGGAGCTACATACACAATACCTGGGAGTCGGAAACGACGCTGCGCGAAATGAAGGCGAAGGGCATGAAAAAGCTAGACAACTTCATCAAGAAAGAGCAGGACACAGCCTGCTGGCGACGCTATGCAGGCCCTGAAGATATCGATTACTTTGAATGCCAACAAGAGCTGCAGCATGATCTGCTTAAGTCCTATAACAATGTGGATCGTATAATAGCACGTGGCACGAAACCCGACGACGGCAGCGAGGAGTTTCTGTGCAAATGGCAATCGTTGCCTTATTCAGAGTCCACGTGGGAGGATGCAACGTTAGTGTTTAGGAAATGGCAACGATGCGTTGAACAATTCACCGAGCGAGAAAACTCCAAGTGGACGCCTTCTCGTCACTGCCGTGTGATCAAATATCGTCCCAAGTTCTCGCGCATCAGGTCACAGCCCGATTTTCTGGCAGAGGGGCTAACACTCCGTGACTATCAAATGGATGGACTGAACTGGCTACTGCATTCTTGGTGCAAGGAGAACTCCGTCATACTGGCCGATGAGATGGGTCTGGGAAAGACCATTCAAACAATATGTTTTCTCTATTCACTCTTCAAGATTCATCATCTGTATGGTCCGTTTTTATGTGTGGTGCCGCTCAGTACAATGACCGCCTGGCAGCGGGAATTCGATTTATGGGCGCCCGATATGAATGTAGTTACATACCTGGGTGACGTTAAGTCGCGCGAGCTAATACAGCAATACGAGTGGCAGTTTGAAGGCTCCAAAAGACTGAAATTCAATTGCATATTAACGACCTATGAGATTGTGCTTAAGGACAAACAATTTCTGGGCACCCTTCCGTGGGCGGCATTGCTGGTGGATGAGGCGCATCGGCTGAAAAATGACGACTCTCTGTTGTACAAATCGCTCAAGGAATTCGACACAAATCATCGACTGCTCATTACGGGTACGCCATTGCAGAACTCACTGAAAGAGCTCTGGGCTCTGCTCCATTTTATAATGCCTGAGAAATTCGATACATGGGAGAACTTTGAGCTGCAGCATGGCAATGCAGAGGACAAGGGCTACACGCGCCTACATCAACAGCTCGAGCCATATATACTCCGACGTGTCAAGAAAGATGTGGAGAAATCGCTGCCCGCCAAAGTGGAGCAAATACTTCGTGTGGAGATGACATCACTACAGAAGCAGTACTACAAATGGATACTTACCAAAAATTTTGATGCA